AAAAAAAAAAAAAAAAAAAAAGAATGTTTCTTGTAATGTAATGGGTGTATGTTGAAATGATGGTTTTAATATAATGACTTAGGTAAAACATATTATTAAAAATAATTTCTCCTGTATCTTTGTGAGCCCCACCAGATAATCTTAAATTACCAATGAGAATCACACTGTGTTTCTACTGGACAGTTTCTAACGCCAGTACAGCACTTTCTTCATCAGAGTGCCTACTCTTTTTTGTCAGCCTTGGAAACAGTCATGCAGATTAAAATAAAATATTCATAGAATTCAACAAGACAACTTTATTGGAGCCATGTAAGAAAAAACTAGTCTGATGGGAAGACCTGCCAGCTTTCTCTCTCTCCACACTGAGTTAACAGTAGGGTACCAGCAGCACACACAACCAAAAATACGAAAGGGAGTTGAGCGGTTTGCACCAATATTAGGGCTGAGTGATGTCTGACATCTGTTATTAGGGCTGTGTTGTCAAGGCGACCACTCAGAAAGGCCCTGTCTTCTTGCTTGGCTCTGTGTCACACACTATAATCTCTGACTGGGTGGTGGTGGTGATGCTGATGGGTTTTCCATACTTCAGTAACAGTTCAATTCCATCAATAACCTAAACCTGACTTCCACCACAGGCAGTCGTGACGATGGGAAGCAAGGATGAGAAAAGAGGTTTCCCTTCCCCACAACAATGTCATACATGGGCTAATGGCAAATGCATCTCCCAGTTTTTTGCATCTATTTATTTTGAAATAACATCAAGAAAAGCTGCAGGAAAAGGGCAATGGAATCTCATAAACGACTCGTCCAGACCTTTAGATTTCCTCTATTAACTTTTTTTTTGCTTTTTCAATTATACTTTACATTCAATGTTATTTTTAATGAGTCCTTGTATTAACTTTTAATCACATTTATCATTCTTTCTCCACACACACACACATACACATTGTAACTTTCAAAATCATTCCAGAATAATTTTCAGAAATTCAGGGATATTTTTTACCCCTACTTACCTTAGTAGGTTTTTTCAAAGAACAAGGACATTCTCCTATATAACCTCACTACAGATATCAAAATCAGTAAATGAATATTAGTACATTTCTATTATCTTATCTACAGACCTTAAAATTTTGCCAGTTGTCCCAATAGTACAAACATTCTTTAGAACACAAACATTATTATTTCTGTTTCAAGATGCAATTTGGATCAAGTGTTTCATTTCTTTGTCATGCCTAATTTTTTCTCTTTTATAATGGAATAGGTCTTTGTTCTCTTTATGCCTTTCATGACTTGGTGATTTTTGAAAAGTAGAGGCAAGTTTTTGTAGAATGCCCCTCAGTTTGGGTTTGTGTGATGGTTCCTCATGGTGAAATTTGTTACGATTTCTGGCTGAAGTATTATGGAAATCTTACTGTCCTTCTCAGTGCATTGAATCAGGAGGTTTACACTAGCTCTCTGTCCCATCGCCAGTGAAGGTAGGTTCAACTAAGTGGTTATGGTGAGATTGAACAGGTTGTTCACTGTCAAGTCACAAGGTTTCCCCTTATAATTAATAAGTATTCTATAGGTAAATACTTTGAGAATATATAGGTATCATGGTCATCAACAATCTCTTATCCATCAGTTGTAGCATTCATTTTGGCAATTTACAGTAAGAAAAAGCAGTCCCTTCTGCCTCAACTATTTATTCATTCATTTTTTATATTAGTATATACTCATGGATTCTTAGTTTATTCAATGTGTTATGATCATCCCTTATTTTAACAATCAAATTATCCCACATTTCTTCAGTGAGCCGTTTACAAGCTGGCCCCTAGCTCCTTTGACATGCTCTCATAGTTCTTTGAATACTTCCTTAATTTATGAAACAACAAAACCTTCTAGGCTTAGCTGGGGCTTTCATTCCCAAGGCCCTAGAATCAGCTACTTTTATGAAAAACCTTGGTTTATTTCAGGGGAGAATGAAATTTGGGAAGCTAGTCCTGTGTACTGTATGATCATGGCTGCTTTCCAGACCCTCTACCCAAGAGAGGTAGGAGATTAGGAAATCCACAAATACACTTGTACATATACATATCTGCACATTCTACTTTTCAAACACATGATATGCCAGATAATTACCATACTATGAGAATAACAACGATCATAGTATACAGAGCCCATCTATTGAAAGGTCTATATTTTTTACAAAAGATGATTTCAAAATTAGAACTTTAAAATAGTATTTTGGTTAATATACAGAACTTGTAACATTGAAAACCACACTTGAAACCTATATGACCATATTAACCAATGTCACCCCAATAACTTTAATTTTTTTTAAAGTATATTGGTTAAACTGCTCATCATTCTGAGTTATTATTAATACATTATAATTTTGCCAACCAATCAATTCATTTAAAGACTTTAGTTATATACTAAATTGCTAGTGGAAAGACAATTCATTGCCCAGCATGATGAAACAAGTAGGATAGTAATACATTATTTATTATTATTCCATTTAAAAAACATAAGCAACTGGCATTTGTTCAAAAAGCACTGTGCCTTATCTCTTGGGCATGCCTTACTTTATTTCACTTTAGCAGTGACAGGATGGGAAAGGGAGTGTTTTGTGGCCATTTCACAGATGAGGAAACCCACCAGTGCTGGGAGTCGTGGAGCTAGACAGACCACCAAGTCTACTGTCTTCAAAGCCCTTGCTTTCTACCAACATTAGCTTTGCTTGTGGGACTGGCTTATTCAAGGCCCTGGTAAATTAAAGATCTAATATTGAGCCCTAGCTCTAAAGTTTCTTGAATGTTCATTAACACCAGCATCACAAAAAGAATAAAATAATATAAACTTGTCTCCAATCACTTCTTAGAACTCTAGTACATGAGGGTGGCATTAAAACTGGTTGCAGGACTTCTCCCAAATTACAGAGCCCCAAAATCCTGGCATGTCCACAGGGAGGTCCAGAACCTCGGGGAAGGAGATATTTGTGCCATAACCCTCTCTTTCTCTGAGGAGACCTCGGTCATCAGACCCTTCTAAAAGCCTGGAGGGCAAAGAGGGCCTTTGTGGTTCAGCTCCGCCAATAAAATAAACACTCCATTCAGACCCCTTCTCCAAACAATAGACATAGATGTGGGTAAATTGTATTTTTATCAATCATCACTTATTTGTTGCTATATATAGTTTTGAACACATATATTCATATTTACTTAATTATAAAGAGGAAACAATGATTTTCTAAGGGGGTTGATTTTTACAATATGAAAGCTAAAAGCATCAAACTAAATAATCAATGAGTATTCTAACTGGGGTGGGACAGGACATTGAGGAAATGTCCTTTGAGTGGTCTATCATTTGAAGAAGAGAAAGTCAGATGATGCCCATGAAAGGAAGAGGGAGCTGCACAGAGGGAGAAAAGGGCCAACTGCGAAATAAAGCAGGTGGTGACTCCTATCACACAGGGCAGCCAAGAGTCCAAGCAGCTTGACCTCCTGATGCAATGAACCCCTGCAGGGCCTTGATGAACACCTTTACACACATCTGTCTTCATGCCCTCGAACAGTGAGCTAATTGGGGCGGAAAATGAAAGCTCGAGAAAAATAAATTGCACCTACCTGGATCAGAGACAAATCCTCAAGCTGTAACCTGAAGAGGTAGTTTCTACAAAATACAAAAAGAAAGCAGTTTTATTTTCAATAGATCCAAAGAAATGCAGTTTATAAAAATCATGAGAACAATGGAAAAAAACACACAACTAATAATTTTTGGCTTCCAAAGCATCTTCCTGCAAAGAATGAGGGTAGCACAGTTTTCCTTGGACCTCAGAGTTCACAAGGGCATTCAGGAACACGACAGCCACACATTTGAGATCGGTGAGAAAGTTCAGGCACAAGGGTGTGGGGGTGTGTGTGTGTGTGTGTGTGTGTGTGTGTGTGTGAGACAGAGAGAGAGATTCAGGTAAACCTACATTACTAATTGGCTCTCTTGATCTATGTGAAATGGACAAAAGGACATGGGCATTCCCTTCAGGAACTGAATGTCAGTAAGATGATACAAAACCGTTCTTCATGAGTCTGCCTTCTTTCAGGTCACCTGCATTCGCCAGGTTTTATCATTAGAACATGCCCAGGTTTTGAATTCAACAACAGTCCGAGTATTAGAGTGCTCTGTCTCGTTAGGTGGATTTAGTGTATGAAGTTTAGAAGCAGAAACTCGGTCCAGCATCAAGGGTGTGAAGAATCAGCCCTGTCTGCCCAAATGGAAACAGGAAACCAGAGAGAAGGAAACTGTCAGCTTTCAACAGTGAGGGGGCAGGACAGTGGAATACACACGCAATCGGGGCCAGCAGGGCACAGGGGCAAACTGCCGTACGTATCGGTCGCATTAGGCTTTAGGCCCCAGGGCTGCGGCTTTTAGAAAGAACGGCTGGGCCTCCCTCATGGGCGATGCCTCGGCCTCTCACTCAAAGCTGGAAGGAACATCACGCAGATGAGGAGCTGGAGCGCGGAGCAGCACTCCAGGGAGGCGCAGGGAGGAGTCAGCCCAGGTGCAGACAGTAAAGGCAGGAGGAATTGGCACAAAATCAGGGAAAGCGGACCCCAAGGATGCAGGGCGGTGGGGAGGAGTCCCGATGAAGCTGAGGTTGTTATAATGAGCTGGCCCCAGGTTATATCTAAAATAATAAAATTTTTCTAACACCAGCAAGAAGCAAACGTAGATTACTTCAACTCTATGGGGAGGTAAGTAGATGTCAGAAGCAGACACGCTGTCTCAGTAGAAGTGACAAGTGCCGGTTAAATTAGGCCAAAGGCAAGCCTAGAGGACCCAGCGACATGCCTATGGGGTGGACCAAGATGAGGAGGACCGCGCAGTAGGGAGGCTGGCATCCAATAGCACAGGAGCACACACCGCTGGAGGAAGAAATGGGACTAAGTTCCCCTTTAGGGGAGTCTCATGCATCCCAGGGATTGCACCTGGACGCTCGGATTTCTCACAACGCAACGTGTCCCCCGCCATGGGGGCACAGCCATTCTGCACTCAGTGAAAATTGCCTCCTCCAACCACTACGAAGGCCTCTTTGCCACACTCTTTGTGTCCCTCCAAGTTAACCTCTGAAAATAACCCTGGAAGATTGCTGGCACCTGACACCTTACCACAGAGCCATTGGGGAAAACGCCCCCTCTCTTTCTTACAGTTGAGTCGCATCCCGCGATGAAGAATCAGATTAAGGAGGGAGTATGGCAGCCGAGTCTATTTTTATTTAGACTGCAGAGGCAAGGTTTCCAAAAGAAGTATCTCCCTGCAGGGGAGGAACATGAACTCAGTGCACGCATGGAAGATTGCAGACCAGCTGCCCGACAAGAGCCCCTGGAGGCTGGCTTGCATTTGAAGAGTTGCCAAGATCTCACCTGATGCTAAATAGAGACCAGCAGGGACTCCTCTAAGAGAAGTTTGAAATCTATACACACAGAGAGTAAGTCTTTCAGGTGCAGAGCATATAAGTGGCACCAGAGGCAATTACTGGCCATAACACAGTACCAGGGCTCCTGACCCTGACTCTGACTCTCAGGCTGGTTTTCTAAGTGGCCTCCTGGCTGTAGGAAGCTGCCAGTGGTTACTGCTCTCCTGTTACGGGAGACAGCATTGCCCAGTGATTCAGAATATTTGTGCCAAAGCTCTACCACCACACAGCCTCAGGAAGGAAGATGCAGCACTCTATGCCTCAGTCTTCTCATCTGTGGAATGGAGCTAATAGTTTAATAGTCATAGCTGCCCCCTGGGATGGTGGTGAGGTTTAAATAAAAGGAAATCACCTAGACTGGTGTCCGACACATTGTAAAAATGCAATTAATATAGCTACTGCTAGACAGTTTATAAATATATTAAAATTTCCAGACACAATGAAATTTTCAACAGATTTATCATGACTAGATTTTTAGAAAAAAAATAACAACATTGTTTATCTTGTCTCAGTTCTGGGACCCAGTCATCACACTCTTTCCAACTCACTGGCTCTGTAAATATTTCCTATGAAAGAAACCATTCAAATTTTCAATCAGTGAATTACCTGAGGATTTTGATGATATTACAAGGTGATCCCTGCTTCTCCCCGCCCCCCCCACAAAAACACACACCCTCACCTACACACATACACATGTGCATGCCCACACTATAGTATCTATCACTGGGAACTTTCGAGAAATGAAGCTCGCACACCCAGAGGAATAGCTAAAAGTCCCTTGACACCATTGAGGAAAGGGGACGGTAGTGCCTCTGATGTTCTGCAGAGCTCTGGGCAAGACAACCGGAGAGAAGCACTCAGAGGCCTCTCTACTTGGGCAGATGCTTGGAGAAGGTACAGAGATCGTTCACTGATTTCTGGGCTCAGTTTTCAGGTGTTTTCCATAGGGGAAGTGCTACACTTGGAATATCTGAGTCCTCCCAAAATTCCTATGTTAAAAATCCTAACTCGGAAAGGTGATGGTATTTGGAGGGAGGCCTTTGAGAGGTGTTTTGGCCACAAGGGTGGATGCCTCATAAATGGAATTATTATCCTCATAAAAGAGGCTCCAGGGAGATCCCTAGACCCTTCCACCACGTGAGAACACAAAGCTAGAGGCTGGCCATCGGCTGCTCAGAAGAGGGCCCCACCAGAACCCAGCCTTGCTGCCACCCTGCTCTGGGACTTTCAGCCTCCAGAACTATGAGAAATACATTTGTACTGTTTATAAGCTACCCAGTCAGTGGTATTTGGTTACAGCAGCCGGGATGGACTAGATAGGAAGACACTGATTTATGATGGGGAACATGACACCTCGGTCCCAAGCAAACTTAACTCTGCTGACCATCTTTTTCTGCCCCGCCCCCCGAGGCCCCAACTGTCTGTAAAGGTAATGCTCTCCACCTCAGCCTTTACCTGTGGATTTTAATATTTACTCTGCATTCACCAAAAACCTGAAGACTCCGGTGCCCTCACAGCCATCTCATCAGTAAAGAATCAGCATGGGAGAGGCACTGAGTAGGTGAATGGAAAGGGCAGAGAGGAGGAGCACTCTTACTAGGAGAAATATCGCAGTAATTATGAGATATTATCACAGCCACCTCCACCTCCACCACCATCTTACAGAAGAGAAGCACCAAAGATTTAAACTTTTTCTTTGGTATCTTCTGGGTTACAATATGCAAGTTGGTAATTTTTTTAACCCATCCTCAATTTTTTTTTACCTAATAAAAATCACAGAATCCAAGAATTCTAGAGCTGGGTTGTCATTAGAGAGAATATACCCCTCAATTTGTAGAGGGAGAAACGTCTTCAAATTAAGATGTTCAGTGTGTCTTATCCAAGATTATTAGGATTCAGAGAAAGTCCTAGAATTAGAAACAAGGGCCGCCCCCCACCTTAGTGTCCCTTGGCCTCACCAATCAATCATCCAATGTATGTCCCCTTCCTAATTTCACTGGCACTAAACATGCATACACACACACACACACACACACACACACACACACACACACACAGAGCAATAGTTCTTACAGTACAATTATTTCATGCCTTCATTGTTCAGTCACCGGTACATTTACAAATCATTTTGAGACGATTCAAGGCCTAGCACTGCTAACGACACCCTTTTGATTCTAGGTCACTGATTCTTATCTCTAGGACTATGATCTGTGTGTCTGCCCATTAAGAGAACATGTTAACCCACTGGCCTGCCTGATTAGATGGTGCCTCCTTTCTTCCCCCTGTTCCTCATAAACGCTTCCTGAAACTGCCTACCCAGACGTATTTTTAAGAGTGCCCAAATTTCTTCATTTATGAAATGAGGGACTATGCAATCTTCCTGTATATTTAAATAACACAAATTGCTACAAGACTGTCACCATTTTTAGATATAGAAATGACCGACAGAGTTGGATAAATATAGGTCCATATAATGATAGGCTTCAAAAGACCTATTATGCTATTTTTCTTTTTGTTTGTTTAAATATATCTTTACTGATTTCAGAAAGAGAAAGGGAGAGGGAGAGAGAGAGTTGAAACATCAGTGATGAGAGAGTCACTGATCAGCTGCCTCCTGCACGCCCCCTACTGGGGATTGAGCCCACAACCCAGGCATGTTCCCTGACCAGGAATCGAACCCCGATCGCCTGGATCCTAGGTCGATGCTCAACCGCTGAGCCATGGCCATCTGGGCATTATTATGCTATATTTCAATAAATTCATGAAAAATACTTTTCAAGTGTTTTTACTTTTTGCAAATGAGCACCACATTTCAAAATAATCTTTTTTTTAATCCTCACCTGAAGATATTTTTTCCATTGTTTTTCAGAGTGGAAGGGGGGGGAGAGGGGGAGAGAGAGAGAGAGAGGGAGGGAGAGAGAGGGGAGGGAAGGAGAGGGAGAGAGAGGGAGAGAGAGGGAGAGAGAAACATCGATGTGAGAGAGACACATGGATTGGCTGCCTCCTGCACAGGCCGACTGGGGCCGGGGGTGAAGCCTGCACCCGAGGCCCGTGCCCTTGGCTATAACTGAACCTGGGACCCTTCTGTCTGAGGGCCAAGGCTCTCACCACTGAGCCACACTGCCTAGGGCTCAAAATAATCTTACTTGAAATCTCAGCATATAAAAAAGTAAGGTAATTCTTTATTAGTGAAAATGTA